CTTCCTGGCTGCCCGCAAAGCCGCAGCGATATACGCCCTGAAAATGGGCCCAGCACGAGACACACGAGTTCAAATCAGCTGCACATCCCAAAAACTTTGTTTTGATACAAGACAGTGTTTGCCACATACATCGTTGATGTTGGGATACACGAGCTTGTCAATTTCGGTCATGGCCGATTCCAAATCGGCCGGCTCCAGGTCCAGCTCGGGACGCTTGGCCAAATCGTTGAACTGTGAGTTGAACATGCCTAAAGGTCAAGGATATGTGCACGAGTCAGGCACCACACCAAGAGGTGAGCGCCACAAAGAGAACAGATCATCGGAAGAAATCCTCAAGTTGTCCTCGAAAAGGACAGAGGAAAGTTGTCTGATTGGGTTTTTTTTTTTTTTTTTTTTTTTTTTTTTTTTTTTCTTTAAAGAAAAAAAGGCCAAGGGGTGGCGCGCGGGAGGCTTGGGGGCAGGCTGACGCACGGATGATTTCGCTGCTTTCATTGTTCACAATGGTCTAAAAAAAATGATCGCGAGCCCGCGGCATGCTTGATGAGATTGGGTCCGGGACGCATTGAAGGCCCGTGGAGGATGAACCAACCTGAGTCTTCTTATCAAAGAGGACGGGCACGGAAAGCTTCTTGTACGGATAGCCGGGCTGTGCCAAATTGTAAACCTGGCAGATCATCGGTACATGATGGAAAAGGGTCATGAGGGCATACTGGAGTGTGATGCCGCAAGTGGCCTCTGAAAGAAAAGGCCAAGAAAGGTCCCGGAGGGGCAATGGCTGTTGCGTACGTCGTGAAGATACTCAAACTGTGGGTGAAGAGGATCGGGGTCCTCCTTGGTAAAGGGCCAGCCGCGGTAGGGCCGGCCATCATCGGGCCACTCCAGAAACCAGCCTAAAGCCGACGCGGGCCATGGAATAGCGCAGTGGTGTGGTGCCAACGGCGTGAGGGCAGGGCGTGGTCCTTGGGAAGGGTGGATGAGCAAAGCTGTGGCTGAGGGAGGAAGGGTGCGAAAAGCTAACCAAGCATGGTGACGGAGATGACGTCTTCGAGGCCCTTGAGCGAGCGCATCAAGAGGGCGCGGTGGGCCCAGGGACAAGCCCATGCCACGTCTACAAAGGATGGGCCGAGATGAGTCGCAAGGCACTTTCCAAAGCTCGAAGCACTGTCCAAAACATGTGTGTGTGCATGCACGCGCAAGGCGAGGGGCTGGCGAAA